CTCAAGGATCATAATCCAATTGGTTGCCCTGTTTTAAGTATCGATGTTGTAGATTTGTATTACTCCATTCCTCAGATCACATTGTTAAACTATGTTAGAGATTGTATAACCAAGGATAATCATGAAGATATGTTCATTAATGATTGTGGCATCAGTGTTAATTCTTTCATGGAACTTTTACTTTTCTACTTGAACTCCACTTCTGTTTCGTGGGGAGGGTCTCTTTATTGACAACGTAAGTGAGTTTGCTTTGGGTCAAGGGTCGCCCCGGTTCTGAGTGACATTTTTCTGGCCAAGATTGACACCATCCTCAATGAAAAACTCGTAGATTTGGTGCAAACCGCTTTCAGATATGTGGACGAGATTTAATTTTTCTGCTGCCTTCCGTAACGAATAGGAAAAACCTGGCTGAACTTGTATTGAGTGCTTTTAAAACACATGGAGGTGGGCTAGACTTCACTTGCGAAGTTCTCCAACAGTGATCGCTGAGGTTCTTAGATATTAATATTACATTGTTTCCAAATCACGTATGCTGGGAATACCAACCGCGAAGTGTTAAACCCTTGTTAAACTATGCTTCCTGCCACACAAAACTGGTCAAGAGAGCTATTGCTTCGTCGGCTGTAAGTGCTGGCTTATCTAAGTCATGCCTACACAAGATGACTGATAGTGTAACAATGCAGATTATCAGACTTTTGTCAGCGGGATTTCCAAATTCCGTTATTTCTTCAGTGCGCGAAGCTTTGTTGCAGAAAATCAAACATAAACAAAAAAAGGCAGGAGGAAATAAAGAGCGAAAAAGAGTTGCAGTCATACCATACTTCCACAATATACCTCATGGCTTGAAGAAGGTAGGCTCGAGATATGGTGTGGATGTAGTTTTATCAGCCCCGTGCAAAGTAAGCCAGATTTGCAAGATGACGGATGAGCGCTTCAGTGAAATCACCAAAAAAAGTTGGACATGCGCCGTAAAACACATAAATGAATTTGTAGATTGCGCAGTTGGTGTTGTTTACATGCTTCCTTTAACGTGCGGTCGTTGTTATTTAGGCCAAACTGGGTGGTGCATTAATAAAAGGTTAGGAGAACATATGATGTATGCAAAGGAATTAGTTCAAACCTCGTTCTGCTCTGTAAAAGCTGCGGGTGCCAGCCTCGATTTTCGGGCGTGAATGTGCTGGTACGCCACATGGACAAAGTAACTCGTGAAATAGCTGAGGCGTATTTTATTAGAAAACATGGTGACGGATGCGTGAGCCAACCTTCGGTGGCCTTGCATGACAAAGAGTTCGCACGTTTAGATAAGGGTTAGCCATTTTATCATTGTACCTTCTTTTTATCAGACCCTTTCCCAGAATTTGTCACGTTGCTGACGTTTGCTGTTAGTAGATTGCCTGTTGTATATATTATCATGTGTGCTGCGAATAATAAAATTCAGTTGGTAGTCAGCGCTCGTGTTGTCCTCTTTGCTTTCCTTGCCTCGCCTTTCGTTTCACTTTTCTTCTAGCACCTTAGTGCTCGTGCTGCAGCCCTTATTATCATGAAAGCATCTAAAGTTGAGCCACTGCTCCCGAAGAAGAAATATCAAGTAAGCAACTGTGCCCAATATATATCTGATGAATAAATTGTCACGTACTTGTGCCCAGTACTTGGGGAGAGTGGCTTCCTGTTTTTCTTATCTGTGGATTTTTACAGTCTTTGCATAGGAATATTCAGTGCAGAAATAGCCAAATTACAAAGCCAAGATAATGGAAATCTGCAGAACGAATGAGCAGCTAAAAATTTTTAAATATTGTGAAATGTATAACATTAAGAGCTCGTGGTAAACTCCCGAGTGTGTGCCAAGGTCAGCTAATAATTTCACACGCTCGTAAAAGGCGTACGTGACGAAAGTAGGGCCCGAGAAATGCAAAGAATCCAGTTTACGATTGATAGCCGCACAACGTAAGCTTTGAAAAGTTCGCCATCGCTGCTTATCACTTGTAAGAGAATTTAAATGCATCTCATGTTTGCACAGCATCCCTTGCATGCATCGAGTTCAGCATGCAGTTTAATCGCACGAGTTACACCGACGGAGTTTATGAAAAGAATGTTTTCTACAGCTTTATTCGCACGAGTACTGACGGTATTCGGTGTGTTTCATTTAACATCAAATAACGAGCTAACAGTTTAGCTGCATCCACCATGCTACAATGTTCTAGATGGTTACCTACGTGCACATGTAGGCCAACGGCCTACGCACGCAGCTCCACGCTAGTTTTCTTTCTTTATTCTTATTGTCTTAGCGACATCAGCATCACCGTTTACACGGCCGAAATTCGCGCGCATTTCCGTCCAGTGCATGGGATAACAGCGCACAAAAAGCATGATTTAAGTTGCGCACCAACGCCTCCGTTAGGCAGTGCCCTACATTGAAGTCACTGGTGGCGCCATCACACGTGTGACATACCCGGCGTCAAGCAGGGGACCCCAGCAAGCCCACTACTCTATTCTAGATCACTTTACCAAAGGTGCAGTTTTCGTTCTTTAGGTGTTCTGTGGCCTGTTCTTGTGTTCTGTGGTACGGCCATTGGATGAAAGAGTGCGCTTTTTCATCCAGCGGATGGTGAAGTTCCCGATGTATGGAAACTTAGCAGGATGAGCATGATCTATAAAGGAAAGGGGGACAAAGCTGACATAAACAACTACCGTCCTATAACAGTGACATCAGTGGTCTACAGGCTGGCGATGCAGATTATAAAGGAAAGACTGCAGGCGTGGATAGAGGATGAGGGGGTGCTGGGGGAACTACAGAATGGGTTTCGGAAACACAGGAGGTTAGAAGACAATCTGTTCTCACTGACGCAGTGCATCGAAAGAGCAGAAAAGGAACACAGGCCCCTGTGGCTAGCATTTTTGGATATCAAGGGAGCGTACGATAGCGTGGTTCAAGAGGAATTGTGGGGAATACTGGACACACTAGGCGTGGAACATGTAGTCACTAACCTTTTAAAGGATATCTATAAAGGTAACAAGGTAGTTATAAAGTGGGAAAAACAGGTATCCAAGCCTGCAGAGGTAAAACGGGGGCTTAGGCAGGGGTGCCCCCTGTCACCCTTATTATTCATGATGTACCTACAAGGATTAGAGGCCAAATTAGAGGGAAGTGGACTGGGCTTCAACCTCTCTTTAGTCAAACAAGGAAAACTTATTGACCAGGCACTACCAGCATTAATGTACGCAGATGATATAGTGCTAATGGCCAACAACAAGGAAGATTTGCAGAGATTGATGGACATCTGCGGTAATGAGGGAGATAGGTTAGATTTTAGATTCAGTAAGGAAAAATCAGCAGTCATGATTTTCAATGACAACGAATGTAGTGAGCTTAGAATACAGGAGGTCACGCTAGAGATAACAGATAAATACAAATATCTGGGCGTATGGATAAGCAATGGGACCGAGTATCTGAGGGAACACGAAACATACGTGACGACTAAAGGTAACAGGAATGCAGCAGTCATGAAAAATAGGGCACTGTGGAATTACAATAGGTATGATGTTGTGAGAGGAATATGGAAATGGGTCATGGTTCCTGGGCTGACGTTCGGCAATGCGGTCTTGTGCATGAGACCAGAAGTTCAAGCAAGATTAGAAATTAAGCAACGTGGAATAGGTAGGCTTGCTTTAGGAGCTCACGGGAATACACCAAATCAGGGAGTACAAGGTGATATGGGATGGACATCATTTGAGGGCAGGGAAGCTAGCAGCAAGATAAAACTTGAGAAGCGATTGAGAGAAATGGGGGAAGAGCATTGGGCTAGGAAGGTTTTCAGCTACTTGTACATGAAGAATGTCGATACAAAATGGAGGAAGCGAACCAGGAATTTGACTGGTAAATACTTAGAAAACAGCAGGTGGCCAAACCAAAAAGAACTATCGGTAAAGAAGAAAGTGAAGGAAACGGAGACTGACATGTGGAGAATGGGCATGATTAAGAAGTCCGCACTAGAGATCTATCGAACATTTAAGCAGGAAATCGCCAAGGAAAGGATCTATGATAATACTCGGGGTAGTTCTCTACTGTTTGAGGCTAGGACGGGAGTACTGCGAACCAAGACATATCGGGCCAAATACGAAGGGGTAGACAATTTAAAGTATGCAGTGCGTGTGGAGAGGAAGAAGAAACTGCCGAACACTTGATAATGTTCTGTAAACGGCTTCACCCTATAGTTCAGGATGATGGCGCAGAGTTTTTCAAAGCACTGGGGTTTAGGGACCGGGAGGGCAAGATAGACTTTAAGCAAGTAGACTTAACTAGAAGGAGGTTATCTGATTGGTGGGTAAAGTCAAGGCACGAGTGAAAATTAAACTCTTCACTGCAAAGTACGAATCCTCAAACTCACTTTTTAAGGAAAAAAATAAATATAGTTTTTGGTTCATTAAGTATTACGGCTTGGTGGCGCTAGCCACCGCGCAATCTAAAGGGTACAGCCATATCCATCCACCCATCCATCCATCCATCCATCTATCCATCCATCCATCCAGCCGTGTCTGTGGTCTGTGGTATAAGAGGTCCGTTCGATTCACCTGCACCGGTCGGAACCGGTTCACGGCTGTGCACGCGAAGTTCAGAAATCGTGCAGCGTGAGTTCAGTGGTGCAGGCACAGCACGTCATCCGAAACAAATGACGATGTGCCGACAAGGTGTTGGCCTTATTTCTTTTCGGTTAATTTACACCATTCAGCAAACACCGACCTATGGCGAAACGCACATGTGGGCAGTTTATGAGGCGCAAACATCTTGGCAAAACACATCGCATTTGTAGAGGTGGCTACGTCTAAGTGCTGCGTCGTCTGCTCAGCTGCACGCGCGCCTGCACCAAGCCGGCACCGTCAGGGAAAGAGGTGCAGGAAAATTGTGAACCGGTGCTGCACCTTTCGAACGAATGGCAGGGTTCAGCGGTCGTCAATGCTGCACCGCTGAAACGAATGGTAAGGTGCAGCAGCACCTCGTGAACTGGTTCACGTGGTGCAGGCGAATCGAACGGACCTAAGATTTACCGTGTTTTGTGATTTACCTTTGGTGCGATGAAGCGCATGTGCATCTTGGCGTTGCTTTCACGACGCCCGAGCAGTCCGAGACTTCTCTGTACAGCAGCAGCAAAGCCTGCTTCGGAAGACGTGCCGCATTCAAGCGAGAAAGACTCCGAAGACGAAAAACACGTGTACAGCAATCTGTACCCGTGGAAGTCTAAGGGCGAGTTTGTGAGAGAATTAGCGGGCAGTATATTTTATAACGAAGGTGAGTATCCCAACCGGCCCTGGGCTGGGAAACGAGAGTGTGCCATCCTTGTTAATGAAAGCGACGTTTTCTTCTTATGACCAGATGGGCTTATTGCACTCAGCAAACCGTACGGGGTTCCCGTGACCTTTGATTTCCGTAATGAAGGCCGTAAGTTGTCGTACACTCTGAAATCTTTTCTCAGCTTAACTGCATGCTCGAGTAGATTCTCGACAGCTTTGAAATCGTACCTATGTTGACATAAATAGGGAGTTTACGAACAAGGCCCCCAACAATTCGAAGCCCCGAAGCCCTTTGCGTATGCACGCTTTCGGTCAAGCAGGAGCGAAACGTTTTCTTCAAATGGGGTCTGCGGCATCCAACTCTTGGTCATGTCACCTCAATGGGTGCCATCACGTTTGTCTGACGCGAAGCTTTTGGGGCAGGCTTTGGGGCTCCCGCTAAATTCAAGAAGTAGCGTTCCCAACTCAAACGCGGTTAGGGTATTGGGCATGCGCAGTGGCCTTCACGCTCTTTCTTGGGGGCCCCTATTCAAAAACTCCCTAATGTCACACGTTACATTGTTGCACTATAATATGTTTGATTTCTCATGTAATTGATCACCACGCTGAAATTGCATGCTCTTACAGCCTCTGTCAACATGTACTTACTTTTAAATTATCATATATTTATATCTTTTTAGGGTCCCAAAGTATGCTCAAGCAACGCCTTCATGTCTCGGGCCTTGGAGAGTCACCTTACAGTCTAGAAGATGCCCTGGAAGGCTTGGCAATCCACTTGAACGTCGACCAGGTTATTATTGTCAAAGCAGCTGAGAGGTACTTCAATGTCTATCGTTATGTGCACGCTTCCTTGATGTGTGCAAAGAAATAACATATTTTTTTTGTATAAGCATTTGCATACACGTGTATATGTATGTATTGTTACGGATGTGATGGGTTTATTTATACTGAAAATGCCAGCGCTCAACTGTCACTGCTGAATCACCATCGCTCGAGAGTGTCCTACCTCCTCTTCTTTCTCGCTCTTTCAGTCCGTGTTACATTTTCCTCCGGGCAAGACGAAGCTCAGTGAGCGAGTAGAAGCGATCGATTGTTGTAGGGCTTCAATCGGGCCTTGTGCACAATTTGTGTCTTACGCTAACGCTGGTTGTGAGCTGTCACTTTCGCAACAACGTAAGTGTCGTCACTCAAGCACTGAGTAATGACGAATGGTCCTGAGTACTTGAAAAGAAGCTTCTGTCAAAGTCCCTTTTTTCGAACGGGCGTCCACAGCCAGACGAAATAACCCGTAGCGAAACTCACAGGTGGGTGTTTTGCGTCGTAACGGTCTTTCGCGTGAGCGTGGGCGGAAAGAGTTCGGAGCTGAGCAAGTCTACGAACTTCTTCGGCTCGGCACAAAGTTTGCGCGACACTGGCATTTTTGTTCGTCGAAAAAGGAAGTATGGTGTCAAAGACACTTTGGGGATGACGAGCATAGAGAAGACAGAAAGGCGTACAACCTGTGACCTCCTGTTTTGCGGTAATAAAGGCGTATGTAACAAAAGGTAATACGGTATCCCAGTTCTTTTAATCTGCTGCGACTCACATTGAAAGCATCAGTCAGTCAGTCAGTCAGTTTATTTTCCTTAAAGACCCCCAATGGGGGTATTACATAAGGGGTGGGAATAATATTTAACAAACGTAATCAATACATGGGTTTCAACTATATACATTTTTTCATATTACAAGGAAATATGCATGTACAATGAATAACACACGTAACCAACATGTAATTCAAAAAAGCACTTAAAGGTTATTTGTTAGAAGATGGTCAGTGACATGTTGTGCAAAAGAAGATGGACATATTATGTCGACAATGGAAAAAGGGAGGTCGTTCCAGTCTTTTGCTGTGCGGGAAAAAAATGACGCGAGAAATGTTGATGTTCGAGCGCGCATTAATGAAACCTGCTGCGTGTGGCTTGTCCTGGCTGATATGCGTGTTGCGGGTTTGATGTAAGATGGTTGATGCAGGATTGAACTGTGAAAAAATTTATGGTAAAGACAAAGAGAAGAAATGCGCCGACGAAGAGCGAGCGATGGAAGATTGGATAGTAATTTTAGTGATGTGACGCTGATGTCGTATGAATACGAAGAATGAATGAAGCGAGCTGCACGGTTTTGAACTGATTCTAGAGCGCAGATGAGGTATGCTTGGTGCGGGGTCCCAGACGGCGGATGCGTATTCCAATTTCGGTCGCACTAGTGATGTGTAGGCAAGTAATCTTACCTGCATTGGAGCACTTTTGAGGTGACGTTTTAAAAAGCCTAAGGTTTTGTTAGACGATGAAATGATGTTTTGGACATGCGTACGCCAGATCAGATCGCTAGTCACGGTGACACCTAGGTATTTATAAGAGTTAGTCAGTTCTAGGGGTAAGCTGTTGATTGTGTACGGAAACATGAGCGGATTATTGCTACGCGTAAATGACATAGTTTGCATTTATTTACGTTTAGTGTCATTAACCAAGTGGTACACCATTTCGAAACGTTAGTAAGATCGTTCTCTAAGGTTAACTGGTCAGAGGTGTTTAGTATTGTGCGGTAGACGACGCAGTCATCTGCGAACATACGTATATTACTGGTTACATGCAAAGGTAAGTCGTTAATATAGATTAAAATAGTAGCGGGCCAAGGACGGAGCCTTGAGGGACACCTGATGTTACTGGGATGGCAGTAGACAGGTGGTTATTTACAGCGACGCGTTGTGATCGATTAGTAAGGAACTCTATTATCCATTTTATGACGGTGGGATGTAAATTTAGTTGGGAAAGTTTAGCGAACAATCGTTGATGAGGCACCTTATCGAATGCTTTAGCGTAATCAAGAAAAACGGCATCAGTTTGCACGTTAACGTCGAGGTTAGTATGAATGTCATGCAAGAAGGCTGCCAGCTGTGTTTCACACGACAACCCCTTACGGAAGCCGTGTTGTGAAGGGTGAAAAAAATTATTGCTGTCGAGAAAATTCATTATGTGGGAGTAGATGACATGCTCCATGATCTTGCAGGGGACGCTTGTTAGGGAGATGGGGCGATAGTTAAGTGGAGAGTTTCTATCGCCTGATTTGAAGACCGGAACGACCTTCCCTATCTTCCAGTCACATGGGATGATTCCTGAAGAAAGGGACTGGGAAAATATTAGAGCAAGAAAGAGCGAAGCACTCTCTTTAACATTTTTTAGAATTTTGGAATTGATACCATCCATGCCCGCAGAGGATGACAATTTCATTTTTTCCATTATAGACAATATTCCATTTGCGCAGAAATTGATTGCTGGCATGTCATGATTACAATTAAAGCCAAGTGAAGGTATGCGGGAGTGTGTGCTTGATTCATCAGTAAAAACTGTAGCAAAAGAAGCGTTGAATAGATTCGCACATTCCCCGTCAGTAATAGCTTCACCAGATTCAAAGGTTAGTACAGTGTCACGCGGTTTGTCAGCCTTAAGTGTTTTCCAGAACTGTCTGGGATTAGTCTGCAGTAGCTTGGGTAGGTCTGTGTTATAGAAGAAGTTTTTTGCTTTGCGCAGGGCTAAAAGATAATTGCGGTCAGCCTCATAGTACCTATCCCATACACTCGGTTGACCTGCACGTTTGGCAGATCGGAATAAACGTTTCTTTTTATTTTCAAGGCGTTTTAGATTTTTAGTAAACCAGGGTTTGTTGCAGGTGCTTGTGAAGCTGACTTTAGGTATGAATTTATCGGTTAGCTCCGTCAGTTTACCGATAAAGCGGGTCCAATTCGTATCTACTGTGTGTTGATGTAAAGTTGCTTGGAAAGTGTGGAAGAATGCGCTAAGAGCTTCGTTTATCGTTTCGTAATCCCCTCTGTCATATAGATGGATCGTTTTTTTGTAGGTTTCTCGTTTAAGCGGTTGAAAAGAAAAAGTGGCGTGAATTGTCTTATGGTCACTGATTTCGGGTAGATAGTGAATGCGTGACAGGCTTTCAGGATTGTTGGTTAGTATCAGATCCAGGACACTGGCTGTATCTTGCGATACACGTGTTGGCACAGTGACTAGTTGGGTCATGTTGAAGTTTAGGCAAATATCAAGAAACGCATTAGCATCACCTACACCCGTAGATGAATGCACATTGCCGGTGCGCCATTCTATTTGTGGGAAATTAAAATCACCGAATAAAAGTACGTGCGCGTTTGGATGAGCAGACGTGAGCTGGCACATGGCCTGATTAAGTTGGTTGCTAAAATTGGAACTAGCACGGGGTGGTCGGTAACAAACGCCCAGTACAACGGACTGAGGCCGTGCCTTAATAAGTACCCAGAGCATTTCTAGCTCTGTTTTAATATGTACGACTGAGCAAGATAATTGCTCGTGAACAGCAATGAGTACACCGCCACCACGAGTAGATGCGCGGTCATTCCTGTACAACTGGAAGTTTGGTAATTCTGACAGAACTTCGTCATCACGGATGTCATCAGTTAACCACGTTTCGGTAAGTAATAGCACATTGCTTTCAGAGGATGATACAGTGCTAGATATAAGTTCCCGTTTGGGTAGGAAACTGCGAATGTTAGTGTAAATAACAGAAAGTGAAAGAGTTTTGCTAGTAACCGCAACAGCGGTCGTTTTTTTTTCCCGGTGGCTTGATTGCTACGATAGTTCTTTGACGGTGTTTGATTCGGCGTCGAAAATGTAGCGCTTCTGATTCATGTGCAGTGTTTTGAAGTGCATTGAAAATGGCTTGTTGTTACTTCTCGCAAAAGCAATTAGTTGTTTTCTAGCATTTTGGACTGAGCGTGAGAAGTCTTCACCTATGCCGTAACTTGTCCCCTTAAGCTTGCGACCATTCGATAATATTGCAGTTTTTGTCTTGTGCAGAGCAATCTTCACGATTATGGGCCGGGAGCGTTCAGGTGAATGTCGACCGAGACGATGCGCGCGTTCGATATCTCTTGGTTCTAAGTGAACCTGTAGGTTGTCCCGGCAAAGATTCATTACCAGCCGCTCCGATTCAGAGAATGTTTCAGATGCGGAAGGGTCCGGGATACCGTAAAATATTAGGTTGTTTCGCCTTGAGCGATTTTCAGCGTCATCAATACGGGCTTCTAGTGCAAAGATTCTGCAGGAGGTCTGCTCCGTGTTAACGCGCAGGACTTCTATTTCTTTTCGAAGTGGTACCAGAGACTGATAATGACTTTCAAGGTCTGATAATCTTTTGTTCAGTTCGCCAATTGTTTTATCGGTGTTACCGAGCTGAGACTTCAAGCCCTGTACTTCTGCAATTAGTTGTGTTTGACCTGTAGACAGCTTACGCAATTCAGCAAGAAGGTTCTCAGAGATATTTGAAGGGCCAGGGTTAGTTTCAACATCTCCAGCTAGAATTAGTAGTGCACGAACTACATGGACACACTCGGCAATAATAACCATACAGCAATGCGGGCTTGGCAGCTGTACCAGAAAGTAATTACCAGATCTTTTCGAAAAGACAACGTAGGGCTCACCAACCTGCATAGCGGGAGCGTATTGATTAGTGATCCGTGCAGTGGCACAGACACCAAGCCCACAGCGCTCCGTTGAAGGTCCTTGTTCTTTTATAGGTGTCGGGCTCGTGGATGTCGACGATGATGCAACCGTCCAGGCTTGGTTGAGCTCAGCTGCCCAGAGTCCCTCTTTTGGTCGAGCCAGGCATTTGACGATAGGCAGAGGGCATGCGCTGCCTTCGTCGCTTCCAGGACAGCTGAAGCCATGTTCCGCCGGCGCTACCGCATGCGCAAGCGCAGGTATCAGCAGATGAGCGATGACGTAACGGACCATCTG